ATATATTTTTAAGATGAATAATAATTATTGCTTTATTATTTCTTTTGTAGATATCATCATCTGACAGAATATGCCATTCATGCTGGATGAGTTGTAAGAGCGCTGCCACACATATTAGGCATGTTGCTGAAGTTTGAGGTGTTTCTACTACTGAAGATAATTTATTTTTTATGTTTCTGAGATTAAGTTATTAGTGAACTTATACTATTTGCATTAGGTACCAAATAAGGCAAGCCAAATCCTATTATGGCGAACATATTCGCTTTCATGGATCATATAGAATAGAAATATGTAGGGACCCAGGAGTTTTCTAGAAATAATCTGAGAGGAAGTGGTGACATAACACTAATAAGAGGAAAAATTAAGTCCTGGCACATTTAAAGAAAACAATATTATGTCTACATTTTAATAGAAAATAATGTGTCTGGCAGAGCTAGTATAGTCGAATACTGTTGTAATTGTTTAGTTGGTTGGCGAACCATAGGATGTTGCACTCATGTTATGACTAGTGTGGTACTTCGGATGAACTATCAAGAAAATACCTCTGTTATAGCAGAATTTCTGGATAACATATAATAGTTATAAGACATTTAAGTGAAGATGATGATAATTAATAAATCATTCCACTGTAACATTTTATTCATCAGGTATTATAATTATTATTATGTATTGTAGTGCAGGCCAATGAAATGTGTAGGGCAGATAAATGATCACTTACGTTTTTTTAGTAAGTACTTATGTGAGCTGTTGAAACAGCAGATAATGCTCTTCACTCAATTTATAGTGACAATAATCGAGTCTAAGCAGTGACGTAAGGGCCGTAGGTTTCTAGGAATTCACAAGTAAAAAAGACATTTTAGACCTTAGATAGGCTAATATTATTATTTTAGAATAAACTTGAGCGTAAATAGTTACTTCTAGCACATTTAATTCGTTATATTAGGTACTGCAAATCCTAACCTAAAAAGTAACATTTTTTAATAATTTTTGGACTTCGTAGACCAGCAATCGTAAAAATGATTATATGATATTAATTTACTAACTTAAAGGTAGTCTTTCTGCTATACCTTGTAACTATACATACACTTTCATTATCAGGTTTTTAAATGTATGGGAAGTGGGCATTGTTCTTTGCGGTTATTTTTTTTACTCTTTTAAAAAAGTAACTGTTGTCTAAAAATTCAAACAATACAGATGAAGAAATCCTTGCAAAATTATTCACTTCAATCCGTTACATTAGAAGAGATTGTACTTCAATAAGTTGAGAATTTTAATTTGACGGAAATTAAAGTTAAAAGGATTATTACGTAAGCGAAGAGATTTAGTCTTCAATGATTGGAGTTCTTGAATCTCAATTTAAAAAAAAATCAATAGGGCGGATTTCCTGCCAATAAATATTTAGTTTAATGAGTGGATGTGGTTTCAAGAAAAGCAAAAAACAAAATCAAGTCAAGAAAGACATGAATAATTTCATTCATTCATAAATCACCAAAATGTTAGAGGTACTTGTACTAAAACTGAAACGAATGTAAGTACATGCCTTTTGGATTCCGTTTGTGACTTATTCGCTTTAGAAAGACAAGTTTTTTTTCTACTGTTATTTTGCACGTATTGTCCAAAATGTACTTAAATAAGTTTACCACTAATTTGTCACTTGTTTTCTGTTTATACGAACTAAAAATTACCAAATTAAACTATTTTAATAGATTAATGGCATTTATTTTTAATTTAAATTCCCGACCTTTTGAGTACTTTGCAACGTTCATGGCCATGGGACGGGCTGAGGCGTTAGATATCTCAATATCATTGTCAATGTCAAAAACTGTCTCATCAATATGAAAAGTGAAAAAAATAAAAAAAAATCATAACCATTAAAAGGTCTGAAATCGTTAAAATTCGTTCCGTGATAATTTCCTCACAATTCTCACGGTGCCATAAATATTAAAATCAAATTAAATCCTCGTTAGATATTAACCTAAAGTATGATATTTGATACAGCAATTTTCTTACATAATAAAACGCCTTCATCGCTTTAGTGTTTTAAATAAATTCAAGGATATAAGTTCTTTAAACAGACATGGCGATATTCCAAAGACGTATAGTCTCATCTTCCTCGCTTTTATAGCCACAAGCAAGTTGTCCGCACCTGTACCGATCATAAAAGACTTAAACTATTTCAGAATCTAATATCCATTTTGTTAAATGAAACTAATTTTACGGATTTATCGCGTTTATTTTTAATTTTAATTCCCGACGTTTCGAACCCTTTACAGCGTTCATGGTCACGGGACAGATTCCATTTTGTTTTTAAAAAATAACGATAAGCGTTTCTGATGTTTCTGATCAGCACAATATTATATATTTTTTGATAGAAAAAGTTTGGGTCTTTAGTGTATCATGTCCTTTAGTATCTATTGTATAATGTGCCTATTCGCAATTTTTATCCATTATTTTGTTTTCAGATAAATGCAGATAAACGTACTTTACTTTTCCTGATGTCTTCGCTTTCATTCCTTAGACCGATTCCTAGGGTAAGCAAGCTGATTTACCGAAATGAAATATAGTACCTTATTGGAAACAATATAGGACAATATACGTTACAATATTTCGCTTAGTTGATGAGATGGTGAGGATCGTAAAACAAAATTGAAAATAATAAAATTGCACATAAAATTTGGAGTTTTAAAAAGGTAAGTTCATTACAGATAAGAAACTTACCAAATATGACATTTGCTTAATTGTAAGATTTTGTATTGTACTGAAGAAATTATTAAATCTAATTGAGAAACGTCTTTAATTATCATTTATCAACTATTCAATTTTAACGATAACCTGCGTTATGTTCTATATCCAAAGTTTACTTTTCGAAATTAATCATAAATTCATAACAAGAGTTGCGGAGTTCTCTTGACAAAGTTCAATTTGTAGCTTAGTGTACTTTGTAAGGTTAACGGAGTCTAATAAAACCTGAATTTCTCTTTACCCTCAGCAGGCTCTCATTTGTGAACAATGGTAATAAAATTAAGATGCTTTTCATTGGCAATTCCAGCGAAGAGGGTCGGTAATCATCTTTATTAGCGAACGAAAGCAGAACTGATAATAAATTTAGTACGTGTGTTTGAAAAAAAGTTTTACGACTGTGGCAAAAGATTACTTACTGTCTATTTTAGAATTTTGTTTTTGTTCTCAAAATCATGTAATTTGGACAAATATACTTTGCGATATTATCTAGTTTGGCGATGAATTTAAAAATAAACTTAAATTGGTCGAAACGACTTAAGGATCTTCAAGAAGAGAGCCTCCTTCCACCTTAAAGACCGGTAACGCAATTGTGACTCCTTCGACTCCTTGCAAGTGTCCATGGGCGGTGGTGATCGTTTACCATCATGTGACAAAAATATTTTTATTTGCAGTGTAGCCACTTTTTTTTAATGTTCCACTTTTTTAATTAATAATTATATATTAGAGTTGAGAACATATGAATGCAGTTTACTAGTGTGCGTTATGTTTTTTATAAATATGAGAAATTTGAAAGCCCTAAATATTTTTACAGAATTAGTAACTTCTCCGTATACTTAAACGGATGTTCCAAAAAGAGTTAAAAACTACAAGGTGGTAAGTTTTGGCAAGCTTACGAGTTCTCCATTCGATGAAGCTTTTATACTCTATAGACTGAAAGAAAAAACACCAGTAAAAGTAAAATGGTAAAATGATAAAACAGTCTCTTTAAAAATTTATTTATTTATTAATTTATTGTGCTTCTCGTGTCATAAACTCGACCAATTGAGGCCGTTAAATACAATAAGTGATGTAACTTTCGAAAATATACAATATCAGTGAAACAATCGTAAAAAAATAAATATTCGCATAGTTTTTAAAAAATCGAAAAATGATATAAAATAGAAACAGAAAACAAGAAATAACACTTTTACAAAGGAATAATAAACACTCACTTTTCAAAGGAATTTTAGGGTGTGAGGAAAATTACGAGAACTTAAGCTTACAATTAATTCGATAATTCGACTTACGTAGTTAACTTTACACAGTTCATAGGAAATCCATATTATGTCAGCAGGAAAACTAAAGATGCATAGAGCGATGATATACGCAATTATTTATTATGAATTGACATTAAAAGTGAATAAAATAATTGTGGTATGATTGACATAAGTTTAAAAATATAATATTACATATCATCGATTAAAAAGGGAAGGAAAAGATTATTGAATCATGCGATAACATATCTGAGACTGGAGAATTAAGAATAAAGGACATTATGACATAAAATCCAAATATAGCACCAGAGATAAGAAGATTAGGACATGATACCTTCTGGAAGGGAGATTTTGTGATTTACATATTAATGCAATACCAATACCTAGAATGTGATATGATTATAAAATTCAACTTACTAAAGTACCTAACCATTAAATTTACCTACGTTTTCTTTACAATATCTACAACTTCAATGAACCGAATAACATTTCTCTCCTTTTTACATTTGACAAATCAAATTTTTCCATGCTATATTTATATAATTCAATTCAATCATAATTTAGGACTAGTTCCGAATAACTTACTAAGAAAAAACCACTACAACTACATACATTTTATGGCCTTAAAACTTTGTACAGAACCAATCGTTATAATACATCTAAGAACTAATTTGAATGATGCCCAAGTCAGCAAGAACAAATCGAAATGAACGTGACACTTTGAATAAAGAACTTGGCCAACTATTAAGAACAGAACTCTTTTGTACAGATTTTTAGAAACATAGTCACTGCAAAGAGGCCTTTTTCACCTCCACACACAATTAAATGAAGGAGGTAAATGGAGGCCGTACTGAATATCAGTTAAAATAGGCCATTAGAGATAACGTCTAATAAATGCTTATTGACTTATCGACAATTTTCTATTAATAGTTCGCTTTATTACATCAGGATCGAGCATCAGGTGCACGATTACCGTCACCGAGAGTCCCGTACCACTATTGTTCATGACATCGGAATTTCGGCGGACAGGCGGTGTCTGGATGAGGTGCGCGTGCCGCACGTGCCGCAGGTGTTGTTGCTATAGCCAGAGTCGGAGCCAAATGATGAATCTCCGCTTGGGGGCTTAGGCGACCCGCGGGGGCCCCGCCAGCACGCGATCCCAGGGAGCTCGCCACCGGGCCAGGCCCCACCCGCCGCCATCGGTACGGGCCCAGGCCTCGCCCCGACAGTCCCCACTTGAGGGTAAAGCCGCAACAGTGCATCCAATAGCACGCCTTCGTGGAACTCCGAAGGGTCTGGTGGGTGCGCGTGGCGCGGCATCCGGTGGTGGCCTCGCCGTCGCTCCAAAGACTTGGGCCGCCGGTCCAGACGTTGAGGTCTTTGGCGGTGCGGCAGCGAATGTGGGACCGCCGGTCGGGAGCAGGTTCTACACGGGGCCGCTTCACCGACGAGGCTCAGTTCGTCCTCGGCGAAATGGTCATCGCTGTGCACAGAGTCGTCGGACCGGTGTGGCAGCTCTTCGTAGAGAGGGGCACCGCAGGCGTCCCCGCCGCAAGGGTTGCCTCCTCGCCACGTGCCACCAGTGTCACAGACGAACACTCGACCTTGACAGTTCGGCCGCTTTGCTTCAACCATCTGGAAAGTTTAAATGCTTTCATAAGTTATTCAGGTCGGCAAGTGAGTAAGAAATGTTTTGGATCTGTGGTAAAACGTGGATAAGAAAACATTTGTTTTCTAAAGTCTTTTATATTTCAAACATAGCAACATTATGATACTTGGCCAATAATTCAATAACTAAGATTATTAAGTCTTCTTCTTCTACCTGGCATTAATCCCGGCTATTGTCAGGGTCTGCCTTCCTACTCAAACTTCTCCTCTTTGCCCGGTCTTCGACATCCGCAGGGGTCAGTCCATTGGCTCTCATGTCCTTTTCCACGACGTCCAGCCATCGCTTCCTTGGGCGTCCAGGGGGTCTAGTTCCTGGGACAGGTATATGAAGACATATCCTTCCGACATAGTTTTCCGACCAGCGTGCGACATGGCCATACCATCTCAGGCGCCGCTCTTGGAGTTTATCCGCTACGTCACGAACCCCGAGACTGCCTCGAATGAATGTGCTACGTATGCGGTCAGCCCGCATGACGCCACCCATCCACCTTAGCATCTTCATCTCCGTGACGTAAAGCTCTTGAGTGTGCCGAGATAGAGCTGGCCAGCACTCGCTACCATACAGAAGTACCGATCGGATGATGCACTTGTACACCTGGCCCTTGAGCTTGGGCGGTATTCTGCGGTCGCAGACCACACCTGTAACCTCTCGCCACTTAGCCCAAGCAGCGCGTATCCGGGCTTGGACGTCATGGTCAATGCTTCCGGACTCGTGCAGAACGGATCCAAGGTACCTGAACGATTCCGACTTAACGGCTGGTTCAGAACCTATTTGGATCGTGCCAGAGTCCGAACTCCCACAAGCCATGTACTCGGTCTTCGCCACATTGAGTTTTAGACTACCGTTCTCAAGCGTACCCTTCCAGAGATTTACTTTTTGCTCCAGTTCCTGCCGGCTCTCGTCAACGAGCGCTATATCATCGGCATACATCATCAACCATGGCGGCTGGTCCTGTATGTGGGCCGATATCGCATCGAGCACTACGTTGAACAAGAACGGACTAAGAACCGAGCCCTGGTGTACCCCTACAGTGATCGGGAAGGGTTTAGTGTCGCCAACAGCGGTCCTAACCATGGACGCGGAATCGTGGTACATGTCTCTGATAATATCAATATAGGCCTCAGGAACGCCTTTGAATCGCAATGCCCACCAGATACATTGACGAGGCACACAGTCAAAGGCCTTCTGTAAATAAAGAAATGCTAAATGCAGAGCTCTCCTTTTCTCCCTGTATGCCCCCATCAAAGTTCTGAGGGCAAAAATGGCATCCTGTGCCTGAACCCGGTTGAAACCCATATTGACATCCAGAGACAGTACACTCTCGGCGAAGCCTGAGATCAATGATGCGTTCGAAGAGCTTCATGGTGTGGCACATGATTTTGATCCCCCTATAACTACCGCAATCCTGAACACTGCCCTTTCCTTTGTAAATAGGGGTTATAAAACTGAAACGCCACTGATTCGGCATCTTTCCAGTGTTCAAGATACGGTTGAAGAGATCAGTAAGCACATCCACACCTAGAGAGCCCAACGATTTCCACACCTCGATCGGTATGTCGTCAGGCCCCACCGCTTTCCGGTTTTTCATGCGGCGAAGACAATCCCGAGCTTCGTCAGGTGATATTGGGGCAATAAGTCCGAGGTTAGGGGGCGGTTTGGATGGAAGGCTGTGCGGGTGTTGATTGTTTAGTAGTAGCTCCTGGAAGTAGCTCCTCCATCGACCCTTCGCAGAGGCATGGTGGCATAGCAGCATGCCCTGGGAATCCCTGACGCAAAGACATTTGGTGATATCTTGCGTCGCTTTATCCCGGGCACGTGCCAGTTTGTATATGAGCTTTTGCCCCTCCGTAGTTCTAGCTTATCGTACATTGGCGATAAGCTTTCACTGCAGGCTCTGGCCACAGCTCTTTTGCTGGCACGTTTGGCTGCTATGTACTGCACTTTGTCTTCAGGAGAGTTGGTTTGTTGCCACTCCCTAAACGCTGCCTTCTTTTTCCGTATTGCCCCCTGAACCTTATCATTCCACCACCACGTCTCCTTGTCGATGACGCGACCTCCCTTAGAAACGCCGAGAATTCGCCGCCCCGCCGCGATAATTGCCGTCTGGGCTCGATCCCAAGCCTCCTGGGCAGTTTCAGCATTAGTCAAGAGCTTATGACGTTCAACCTCTGCCAGGAAGTCGATCTGCATCGGTCCATTCAGCAACCACCACTTAATTCTTGGTTTGCGTTTCTCGGGTACTTTCTTTTTCGAGGTAAAGAAAAAGTCCATGACAAGTCGACGATGTTGGGCCGTCAGGCTTTCGCCAGGAATGACTTTACAGTTTGTCACCTTGCCAATATGACATCTTCTGGTCAGCAGATAGTCAATTTGAGTTGAGTGGGACCCACTCATATACGTAATAAGGTATTGGTCTTTCTTTTGGAAGAACGTATTCACGACGGCCAGATCACACGCAATACAGGTTCTGAGAATGTTATCTCACTCTGCATTGCGACGACCATAACCAAAACCAGCGTGGACACGTTCATACGTCTCAGCTGCCTTACCTACATGACCGTATAGATCCCCCCCAACGACTATCGGTCCGGTAATCGGTACAGCGCGTAATACCTCTTCAAACTGCTCCCAGAAGGCCTCCTTTTCAGTCTCGGTACAGCCCACCTGGGGGGCATAGGCACTTACGAGGTTGGTGGTAATACCCTCAATCAGTACCTTTACCCGCATAAGTCTATCGCTATGACGGTCAACCTCAAGGAGACCATTTCGAAGCTCTTCAGAGAGTACTATCGCCACACCGTTTTTTCCCGAATGAGACCCAGTGTATACAAGCCGGTAACCCTGTCCGATGTTACGGGACTTATTACCCTTCCAGCGAGTTTCTTGAAGGAATGCGCACTGGATCCGACGTCGCATAAGTACATCTGCAAGTTCCCTGCATTGTCCGGTTAGAGAGCCAATATTCCATGAGGCAAAGCGGAGTTTCCTTCTGGGTACTAACGTCTTTAGCCGTGCCCGTACTTGACACGGTAGCCCTATCCTACTTATCGCAGGTTTAGGGCGATGTGCCTGCGCGTCGTTTAGCGGCGACGCCCTAGCCATACCCAGTCTTTTCGTTTTCGTTACCATTTGAAACAGCTGTAATTGGTTTTACATGGAGCGATTGCCGTCTGATCTCCAAAACCCCACTTTGGGGGAAAAACCAGGATAGGAAGTAGATTTGGGGGGGGGGGGGGGGGGGGATAGGGAAAGAACAGAAGGATATGGTAGGCAGGATAAGGGACACAACTTTCACGGACTAGGTGAGGGTGTGAAAGTGGTGGCTCGAGGACCCGGGGTCGCGTACCCGTATGTCCTGGAACAAATCGGAAAGATATTTGGCAGAACACCCTCTGGGGGAACTAAGATTATTAAGTCTATCATACTATTTTTCCTGCGCATTTTCGCTATCATTCGGCATCGCTTATAACATTAATATTTATTAGATCAATCTCGATCTAGTTTTTTTAAGACAGTTGAACGGTACATAATATTAAGTATCTTGATTTTTCAAAATACGTGAAACATACTTCGCTTGTTACACGTATTTATAAAAGTTTTCTCATCTGTATTTGTTACTATCGTCAAAACATGAGAGTTGTTTAAAATTAGTTAATTTTATTCTCACCTCTAGCTGTGGTTCCATATTGGGTCGGTGCGGTAAGGGCGGGCGCCTTGGGAGATCTTGCAGGTCTTCATATAAAGGAGCCGGTGGTGGTGCCCTCCTTTGAGACCCAGAGCTCTGTGAAGGTGCAGATGACTTCGAAGGCAGAAAGTTGGTAACTTTCCGCTTATGCCTGTTGAAAAAAAGCACGGCTATGTATATATACGGTAATGTTTGAAATTTGCTTAAAGTTTTTTTAGAAATTTAAATTGTTTACAGTGCTAATCTTTGCACTTAAGATTGAACATTAAAATATGTAGAAAAAGTGCGAAAAGATTGTCGCCGTTGTGGGAATCGAACCCACGTCTTCGGCATTCGCGGCCTGACGCTCTAGCCACGGAGCTAAACGGCTGATTGCCACACCGACGATCTAGAAATACGACGATAATATAGACGAATATGTAGAAAAAGACATGTAAGACATGTAGAAATGACAATCTTTTAGCACTTTTTCTACATATTTTAATGTTCAATCTTAAGTGCAAAGATTAGCACTATAAACAATTTAAATTTCTAAAAAAGCAATAGCGACATCTCTCGTTCGAATTATCGTTGTAAAACGATATTCGAAATTGTTTGTATGCTGGAAAGGATATAACAATAGATGGCGCCAAGCATTGCTTCAAATGCTAAGAAAACAATGTAGAAGAATGCGTTAAGATTTTCGTTGGTGTGGCAATCAGCCGTTTAGCTCAGTGGCTAGAGCGTCAGGCCGCGAATGCCGAAGACGTGGGTTATTTATTTATATTTTAATTGCTTAAAGCTACCAATTTTTTCTTCGAATGCTCTGAGATAAGTGATAACACCGTCACAGATTGCAACAACAACAAAGAAATTGAGGATGGTGTTGACTGCCTTTCAGAGTAATTAATTACATTATTCACCTAATAAAAAGGTTACTGAAGCTATTCTGTAGTACAATTATTGTATTTTGTAATAGTGGGTGCGTGGCTCCAACACAGTAAAAGGTTTATTTGGTATAAGGTTAGAAATATACAATGTGCTAGATAAATGTAAAATCCATTAAAGTTTGAATTATTGTCGGTGGGTTTTCACGTGTTAAGGCAGAAGTTTTATGAATCTTGCAAAGGCGCAGCGGATTCGTGCAAAGTTTTATAACTAGCCGAGAGCAGCATCCATTATCATTTATCGCTTTGTAAGATAAGACGTCTTGAGTCAGCTTTATTTTACGGTGGACTTTTCGGATCGTCCCCATCTCCAATTTATCATTTAAAGCAGCTCGCCCATTTTTGACACTGTTTAAACAACGAGTACGTTGACGAACTATTTTCTCAAGGAATTTGGTGGCCCTCTTAATAGTCTAATTTATGATTTTTCTACCTAGATAAAAAAAATAAAGATTGAGATTGACATAAAATATCTGTGATTTGCGAATGAGTTCGTTCGCATGCTTAGAAATTACTAGTGTCACTGGCCACATTGTTACCGTCTATGAATTCACAACTATTACCACAAATCTTTATCCCGGCTAGCGTTTGATTAGCTCGGTTACTAGGATAGCATAGCGATACTGGCGGTACGGCGACTAAGCTCGATGCAACGCCAACACACGCGACCACCCACCGACAACTTAGATTAGTCTGGATGTTATACGCGCGCCATCTCGCATCTGCCGTTGCCCGGGCCATACCAACTTTTATAAACAAATACTCATGTTTAAAAATTCTTTGTGTTTCAAATCATGTTTCAGTAGTGTTCCGTTGTATATGATTGTTCAAAACTTTCATGTATTCTGGCCTACGAATTATTGCGTAAATAACAAACGCCATGAATTCTTGTTATTCATAACAAATAGTAAATCATGGACTAGGAAATAATATTACGGTATTCATACGTTCATTTAGATTCTACAATTTTTATTATAATCAATCATACTTCGTATTCTTAAATAGTTGTAATTTCATTTGTACTATGTTTCTTGTCCAACTTGTATTTAACATAATTTTCATCTATCTAAAAGTCAATTAAGTTTTATTTTTAATAAGTTTACTAATACTTTTAATGAAACAACTATTTTACGGCTTTTATGGACTTTTAATTTGATGTTCAAATTCTAGAAGTTTCGAACTCTTTCCAGTCTGTCCCCTGAACATGATCGCTGGGAAGGGTTGGAAATGTCGGCAATATGAAAATCAAATTAAAAAGCGGTAAAAAGAGTTTAATTTAGTTGCGTTTCAATAACGACGCTGGGCGATTTCTGCCCAAGCGCATCACATCGGTCCACGGGCGTCTCTTTATCTCGTATCTAATTTTTAAAGATAAAACCATGTCCGTTGCTCACGTAAACGTGGTGGCGGCGCACTCGTTAAAATGACCCCTTTGACATTCGTAATAGGCGACGGAATCGCATGCGCCCCCTAGTGGTGGAAGCGTTCTGTCGCCAGCGAGCATTGAGAAAGCTTTCTATTGCTTGTCGATAAAAATTATGCGATAAATCAGTGTACTGGCGGCTGCTGGTAACCCTCTATGTAAACCAAATAAATTGCCGTCTTATTTGAATATCTGATTGTTGTGATACTGATGTTTTAGGAGTCGCCAGTGACAAATCACCGGTTAAGTAATGCCGCTGATAGAATTTATCGGAGATCGTTGCATTTCTTTGGAGAGTAACGACCGCCCGAGTCTAAGATACCTCGATAGATATTGGTTTATTTTTTCTTAAACGTATACGAATCAAAGTCATATAACCGTTAAACAAGTTATGCGAGATTGCTGTGTTGAATCGTTTATTTTTCTTTAATTGAAAAAAAAAAAATCATTAGCTTCTTTTTTCTATTAATTTACTCATTAGGTCTAATCTAACAGTACACTATAGAAACTTTCCACCAAATTGTGGACACAATTTATCGGTGAGACAATGCACTCTAACACTAACACATTAAAATAACCTTTTTTAACGGATGGTCAGTGATCACCACCGCCCATGGACACCTGCAACACCAGAGGGCTTACAAATGCGTTGCCGTCCTTTTAGGAAAGATTATGCCCTATTCCTAGGTTCCCAGGTCTTAACGGTTCGCAAAGATGGCCGGAGGCAGCTGGTTCCACAGAGTGGTTGTGCGAGGCAAGAAATGCCTTGAGAATCGCGCTGTTGCGGAACGCTGAACATAGAGGTGGTGTGGAGGAAATTTTTGGTTTGGGCGCGACTTCCGAAGGTGAAATTCACACAACAATAAATACAATTTCTCCTAACACTCCCCGTGATAGATGCGGTAGAAGATGCAGAGTGATCCAACATCTCTACGCAGAGCCAAAGGATCACGCCGATCGGAAAGAATTTGATCGTCGACAGCCCTGGCTGCCTGTACGTTGTATACGGTCAAATGGAAGAAGCTGGTAATAGGGGGCTCCCGAGAGGTTAGAACAGTAATCCATGTGGGGTCGAATTTGCGCCTTATAAAGTTTAAGGCGTTAAGCCGACGTGAAGTTCTGTCTCTCCTTGCTGAGCACACCGAGCTAGACATCTTAAATGTCACCCTTCAAATAAAAAGAAATAACTAAGCCATAAAAGAAAACGAAAAGGAACGATCTTAATTTTATTCTTCGTAATTTTATTATTATTAAGCATTACCGCTTTTACGTAAGTAAGAAAATCAATAAGGGAAATGTAAAATGTGAGAGATAATGGTGAGTTATTCTTCACATAACAATCATAAGTAGCTTACTCGCATATATTATTTATTTTACATATTTATTTTTAAATAATGGGAGTATATGGTCAATAAATAATTAAAAGAAATAAAATACTTACAGGAAAAACAACTAAAACTATCCGTATGCATTCTACAGAAATGAACTTTCAAAAAGTAAAAGAAGTAAGTTATTAGAAATTTATAATATATAGCTCTCACTACACATAAAGAAAACATTGAAGTGCGGGTTACTCTAACTCAAATTATTTCGATATCGGTAACCGCAACGTCAGCCAAGCCCTACAACAAACCCACCCGTCAACGGTCCGACAATCAAATCGACCCGAACCAAAGCCGCATACGTAACTGGTACCGTTAAAAGTAAAGCACATCAGATTACAAACTACATGCGACAATTTCAGACGCGGCGCGTACCAAATTAACGCAGACGTCGCATTTTGTCCATGACCACAAGGGGAACCGGTATCGAGTCACCCGATACTCGATAATTAGTGGCACGTCACTAATAAATAGGGACGTATTATAAGATTGATTGGCGTTCGCCGGCATGAAACTCGACGTATCAAGTGTGATAATAAGGTGTGACATTTGAAGGTGCTAGGAACTGACGAGGGATTGGATTCGATTTTCTGTACACCAAGCTGTCCCGTGAATTGGTATGGGTGAAAAAACTCCAAGCGATCCGCTCGGACGTAATGAGCTGAGAAATCATCCCAAAGATCGATAAAAAATAGTGTTGTAACTTTTGATTGGTAAAAAAATTGCTTAGCGCGGTCGTGTCTCTTTTTTTGGTTTGAAAAAAGCACTAGGATTTTTTATAATGTCCTTTTACCGGAAGAATATTAAATATTTTAGATATAATGGAGGTTTTCGTAATGTTATTTTCTTAGCGATGCTATGTTCTTAAGGATGTGTGATTTGGGACGTATTTATTTTTTAGAGTTGTAGAGAAAAAAAAATGTATACAAGTTTTCACTCGTACCTTCACGTATCCGGTGGTAATAAATTCCACAACGAAGTCTTTATTGCTTGAGCACCCGCGCATCGTTAATCGAATACAAGGCTCCGTTCACAGGGACAGATTCTGGTTAGCACGATATAAAGATTTTTTGTCAAAAAGCCCAGCACTTTTAAGGAGCAATGTAAATGGACGAAATTCGTTGATTAAATAGTAATAGCGATCGCCCATTGGTAGAAATTGTGATTGTTTATAGAACTCTCTTGGTCAATCTGACATGTTTAAATTCGGCCACAGACTAATGTGTTTGACATTGTCAGTATGAGTGTGAGCATTGAATGTTTTATTTACTTGGTATTAATTTAATAACTTTTAGTCTTCCTCACCCTTTGTCCATATAATTCTTTGCATTGCCAAATTTCACGCTCATTCATCAATAAGTGAGTAATGAATAAGCTAAAATGGGATATAAAGTTACTTGTTTATTCACCCGAGTGATAG